AGAAAGCGATTCAGACTCAAACGACGACGTATCAAAAGACCCATCCATAGAATTGCTATGCCTATGACGTGGCTCAGAACCCATCATCTTCTTCTCCGTCGGCACACCACCAAAATCCAGTCCATCGAAAAAATCAGCATCAACAGATAGACTACGGTAGTGAGCCAGCGGCTTAGGGTTATCGGAAGGTCCAGCAGACAACGCTGGTCCAGTAGACGAAGAATCGGGCGAATTAGCCGGCTGCATGAGGGTCGGCGCCTGAACGTCGAGACTGAAGTCTGAAACGACGTCGTCTAGAAGCATATCATCATCGAAACTGGGAAACCGGAAAAAGGTTTCGGACTGTGCACGGCGGTGGCGTGCCCCACGGGTTGGAGTATCCTGCATCTGGTCAAGGTCAGTTTGACCCGAATAAAATTGGGCCTGAATGGGCTTTCCGGCGAACTTAGGGTCCATCAGAAATGACCCTAAATTAGGGATTTTTTACAGTAGAAGGAACGAAGACTATAGAGAGCAAAGAAGAAGAATGGGACCCAGTGATTGGAAGGAAGAAGAAAATAAGGAAAGTGAATTTTGGTGGCTGCTGAAAAAGTATATAGAGCTTACAGCTAGTCAGCGACAGGTTTCCACAAAATAGGGGTAGAACTTGTCCAAACTATTCCACCTCCTTCGTTTTCACTTTTTGTGAGTCAAACTAAATAAATTTTTATCTATTTTTTAAATATTTTAATTTTAATGCAATTAAAGTTTTTACACGAATTATAGTTATTTCGTAGTTGTTTTTTATTTCCATTTGAGGTGATGCGTCAAAATATTCTTAACTATGATCTAATTTTACAAAGGCTAAGATTTAGAGAACTTCACCTTATGTTAATCTAATAACATAAGTTGTATGGTTTATGATCCGCAAGATATAAGTTTAGAAGACCTTTTCCTTGCGGTAAAAATTATGTAAGAATTAAGAGCCTGTTTGGATTGGTTTAAAAAAATAGTTTTTAAGTTAAAAATAAAAAATCAAACTTAAATGATTTTTAAATCAAAAAATAAAAAATAGGGGAGACCTACTTTTGATTTTTAAGTCATTTTAAACTTATTTTAAAATATTTTTAACCTTGTCAAACACTTTATAACTTATTTTAAGTTATCTTTATATTTGTCAAACACTTCCAGAAGTCAAAAACTAACTTAAAAATATATTTGACCAATTTTTAAGTCAATCCAAACACCCTCTAAGTTATGTCCCTAAGGAATAACTTTGTGTGAATTAAAATTGAAGTTGTGTCTCTATTTATATTAGTTTTGTAGGTATACCTTATGGGATATGAACTTATTAAGGCATAATATTCTGAAAATGAACTTATGTTTTATAAGGCATAATTTGTATCTTACGAATTGTTTTATAAATTTCTTTTACTTTTTAATAAAAAATTTAAATATTTAATATATTTTTATAAAAATCTTGACTGTCATTAACAAATTGATGCATCTATGATATTATTGGAGCACCGCTTGCATTATTCGATTTTATTTGAATCGAATATGATCTCACAAAAAGTTTAATGGACCTAAAAGCAAATCTTAATAGGACTTCTTATGTAATAATTCTACGGGTGACAATTTTTTTTAATTAAATAGACGTATGTATATCTAATATCTTTATTATATAAATAGCATATAATCATACATATATAATGTATAATTATATATCATAGTTGTATATATATTTATATATTGTACAATGTTTATATAATATTTATACATTATAATAACTTCGACCAACTCAAATCTCTTCTATACAATTTCAGATTTTAGTTATAAGCTACTCTTCATATTTGGAATATTTTTATATATTATTTATTCAAAATAATTCACATTTTTATATTAAACTCTATTGTCCAATTTTCTTCTTCAATGACTTCTTTTCCTTTTCTATGTTAATTTCCTACATTGCGCATCTTGATAATGTCAATAGCTTTATTATTAGGGAAAATTATATAAAATAGCAAACTATTAATTTAAATTAAATGTTATAGCCATAATTATTATTAGAAAGAAGGAAAATGGAACAAAGTGGGCCGACCAAAGTTTCGAAGAAGAAAAGGAAAAATTACTAAAATACACGTCTTATGTTTCCCTTATTTCTAATATTCCCTTCTATTTCTAAAAACCTCTAAAATCCCTTATTTCTCTCCTAATTCTAAATTATTTTATAATGTATCCGAGCTAGTTTATAATGTATCCGAGCTAATTTTTAATGTATCCAAGCTACATATTATGTATCCGATTTATTTTATAATGTATCCGAGCTATCCGATTTGTTTTACTTTTTCAGGGATTAATGTAATTACAAACTAAATAGGGATAGATTGTAATTTCATATTAAAACTATGTGATTCCTAAAATTTATAGAGAAGAAAATAGGGCTAATGCATCTTCTTCCTAGCAAAAAATAAAGTGGGCCGAATGACTATTTTAGGTAAATAAATACTAGTTAAAGTATTTTAGATAAAAAAAAAAATAATTATCCAATAATTATTTCATCTAATTTTTCTATTTTAATTTTCTTTTTGCAAGTAGACTAACAAATTAATCCCGTCTTAATATTATATAGATATCGCCAATGTATACTACGTGAATAATAAATACTACACACGAATTAACTAACTAATTTTTGTATAACTTATTTTTAAACCAGATGACCTCTAAATCTACTCCAAAGAAAATAATAATGCAGTAAAGGCTTATTGACTTTTATTGGCATTATAAGAAGAGAAAATGTCAACAAAAAGAAAAGAATGAAGATTCACAAGATCCATTAAACTTCAGTTTTCTTTACCTTAGCTTCTCTTTTTGGATGCTTTATCATATAATAATGTTAAACGACTTTATCATATAGTCACCGACGTAAAATATTATCACAGAAATTACAAAAAGTAAACATGCGTCAATTCAATTTTTGCTAATTAAAATGTGACTTGACTTTTATGTCAAAGTAAAAATAAATTAAATCAGATGTTTCAAAAAGTTGAGATAATTAGGCCAAAATTCATTATCATGGGCCAACCTCAAATCTGTCATACATCATGTACAAGCTAAAATCACATATATTTTTCCTTAATATGATGTTGGATATTTGTATTGAATTTCGATTAATTTTGATTCGTATGTGTATGGTCTCATTCTAAATTTCACGACACGTAGGGTTTCATTTGGAGAAAAGTGATTCTTATCAAAGATTTTTTTATACCCCGAGCTCAAATCTAAGACCTCTGATTAAAGAAGGAGCAACTTCACCCAGTGCACCATATTCTTCGATGGTGAAAAAGCACATACTTGTGTTTGCATTACGACAAATTCTTGTTGATCAGTCAGTTGAAAGTGCTTCTAATGTATATATCTAGCTATATTTTCCTATTTTAAATGATCTATAAATGAAATATCTTTATATACCTACCTAATTTAATGCTCCAAATTGTCAAACTTGCGCTTTTATAGGGAAAAAAAACGTGGATTTTACTTCTCCAAATAAACTTTGCATATGACTCAAATGATGGGAGATTTGTAATTCTATCACCACATCTATTTAGCTTGGGTTGGAGTTGGAGAAAAATCCAATCCAATAAAATGGGCTAAACAAAATATAGTTGATGAACATGAGTACATGACTAATTATTGGACTGTTTATATATTGAATTTCTTGTTGAATCAGAATTATTCACATGAATTTCATTTATCGGAGTGGACTAAGGACAGACTAAGCCCGATTTTAAAAAAATAAAAAATAAAGAAATGGGGGCGGGGAAAGGGAAATGGGAGGTGACTACAAGGTGGGAATTGGGAAATAAAACTTTCACCAACAAAGATAGGACTTAGGAGTTTGAGTAGTCAACCAACTGAGTTATTAAGATTTTTCGAGCCTCGTTAAATACTCACCTAGTCCCTAATAAAACCTATTATATTTGGGGAGGTCCATTAGATCAAGGCTTAGTGCTTATAAATATATGATTATTTCTATAGGAACATTAACTTAGCAACCTTAAAAAGAATGAAAAGCAACCTTCATAACTGGTGAATAGATCAAGAATTCAAGATACAATTACAGCGTAGTAAAATCTTGTTTCTAACTTAAAATCTGAAAGAATTCTTTCATATTTGTGAGGTTTCATTTATTATGGGATTTTATTTTCGTTTAATCAAAACAAGATAAGAAAAGGAAGGAAAAAAAAAGACTCAAAGTTAATTAAATTGGGTTTACAAAAAGTGACTTTAGGAAAGATAAAAAATGGCAGAAATAACAGTACTGATTATAAGCTTATGCTAAATTAAAGAGTAATTATTTCATGGCCCTCCTAGAAATAATTAATCAATTGTTGACCATGAAACATTATGAGCTGAAATCCTCCTAATTAATTGGCAACACACACGTTGAAGTAGTCAGAAAACTCATGACTTAACGAGAAGTACTTCGACATAATACATCGTTAGAGAGAGTTAATTTCAAACTAGTTGTAACATATTTATTGGGTTTGATCATGAAACTTTTTCACTTTTTCTTTTTTGTTCTAGAGACTCTGAAAAACATGTTTGATCATAAAATTTTGGAAATTTGATTTTTTAGGAATTCGAAAAACAAAAGAAATAGTTTTTATTTTTCACTTCAAATTACTCACAATATAATTCAAAACCAATTCTAATTTGTATATTCATGGCCAAACACAACTCTAGTTTTCAAATACTACCATTTTTTTCATTTTGAAAACAAAAAGATAACCCTTTTTTTTTTCAAAATTGGCTAAACACCTCATTGGTCAAGATTTTTCGAAAAACAAATTTCTTAAAATAAGTAAGAAATCAGTTATTTTCTAAATAAAATTTTTCATGGTACCGAACACACGATTGAAAAATGAGTACTCAATTCATCAGTTATCATTACTGCAATCTAGTATATCATGATTATGGAATTAATAGCAGTATACTTAATTTTCTGTTCAAGTAAATCTCTTACAAGATATACAGCCTTCACAAATTAAAAATCCCAACTCTTTTACACTTGCTTTAGTCTGAAAGTAGCTCAAGAGACAACTCACCAAGAAAACATCAAATTTACAATAAGTTAATTTGATCAAAGTACAAGCATTTCATCATTAAGTAAACCAATAACAATACAAAAACCTAGTCCAAAAAAAGATGTAAATTAAAACTAATAAATATTCAAAGGAAAGAATTACTACAAATTAAACTTACTTCAAATGATCAACTGCCTGAAAAAAATCCTCTTCCTAAAAATATTTCCTAAAGAGTGAAGGAAGGAGTTAATTCTTCGACATAATAAGTGTGAGTTCAATTCGTATAATCCCCCTTCCATTTTCCTGATCTCTCAATGTAATAGAAAAAAAAAGTTAGGAAAAAAAAAACAAAACTCAACAAACAATAATACCCGTTGCTACGCGCATACAATTCTTCAAGTTAGAAAGGAGGTCGTCCCGTTGACCAATATCCTTCATGAGGTAATTGCATTGATGAGTTGAGAAGGTTTGGTGGCGGTGTCCCATGAAACATCGATGGGTCACCGCCTAGTAATTGTTGTTGTTGTCCGCCAGGAGATCCCAGAGGACCTCCTGGCATTGGAAGAGGATGATTATTCGGATCATCCTCTTCCAACGGTAGCCTTTCATAAGCCGCATTACTAAACGAAGCACCCATAATAACAACTGGTCCTGACGCCATAAGCGCGCCAACCACGCTTCCTCCCACCACTTGTCCTTGTCCCCCAGCTAAATAAATAGTCAACCCTGAAGCAGCTGGGGGAGCAGGTGGTGGGAGGAACGATCCGGATAAAGATAAGATCTCAAATCGACCATGTAGAGTTACAATCTCACCGGATGAAGCTGGTTGTTTTAAATTCACATTAGTAACATTTCCCGTTCCGCTCATAATGCAAACTCCTCTTTGTCTTCTTCTCGAAAAATTGGATACGCTTTCCATTACATCACAACCATCCGCGATTTCGATGATATGTGTTCGGAGGGCGTTGGCGCTGTCTCGATTGATGATAATGGGTGGTTTTGGCTTGTTTTTTGATCCAGCAGGTCTTCCTCTTGGCCTTCTTGACATCTCTCCTTCATCATCCATAGCTTTTTTACTTCAATTCTATGCTTAATTTCTTCAAAAAATGGAATGAAGAAGCTAAGAAAATTGAAGTACAAGTAAGTAAAAAAGGTATATTTGTGTTAGGGTTTAGCTAACTAAGGTGAAGAAAATGAGAAGAGAACTAGATCGACCATATATGATACAATGGGTCATGTGTGTTTGGTTTTGGTAATATATTCTGCGTGCTAATGGGCGGTGGAATATGGGTCCTCCTTTCTCTCTCTCCCCATAAATAATTTATTTTGCATTCAATTTAGATACATATTTTTTATGCACATATTTAACCACCAACAATGTAGTTGTAGCAGATGAAGCTACTTTTTTCTTAATCATATGTCACAGATTTAAGTTTTGGGTATGTAGTTTTTTTTTATAGGGGGCACTTTTCTCTGAATGAGGTTTTATGTGGTACAAATTTAAAATAGTCAGATTCTAAAGCGGATACTGAACATCAAAAAATATATATTTAATCATTGTAGCAAGTGAAATTATTTGTTTGGTGTAAATATTAGATGCTATAGTGAGTATTGTCTTTGTTTCTCCCTCCATGTGGTGCATACAATTAGGAAATTAATTAAGGTTTACTCATTTGGTTCTATATCATTTTATGGCATTATTTTATATTTTGACTCTTTTAAAAAAGATCAAGATTCTTTTATATGATTTGGTTATTCTATTGAGTCTCTTATTGTTATTAGTAAATATACTCTTCTATAGGAGTTAGATGAAAATCACAAGTGTTAGGTTTATTTTGACATGTTTAATTGGATTGTGGCGGACGAATAAACGCTATTTCCATCTTTAATAAGCGATCTATGTTCAAGAATATGTGAAGAAAATAAACTAATAGAAAGTATATTTCCTCCTTTAATTTAATATAATGGACCTTACACAATATATAAATTCAAATTAATCAGGATTTTAATATGATTACCAAATGGTTTATCAATTCTATGTCCTTAATGGTTTATCAATTCTATGTCCTTAATTAGGAAAAGTATTTTATTTTTATTTTTGGAGTTTCATGTTTCTCATATTGTCATGTAAAATGTTTAGTTGTAGAAACCCTAGATCCCTCACTTGGTATTTAATATACCTCGTGTCCATTTCGTTGGCCTGTCTCGACCCATAAAACTTTATTCATTTTCGTTGACTAACAAGAAAACAAAAACCTTTCTCTTCCTCACATGCGTAGATACTATACTTGATTGGTTAAGTTTTTCCATTTTCTCTTCAAAACTAAATATTCCTACCATACATCTTTGACTAAGACTACATAGCACTGATGGTTCGAGTAGTAAACACTTCTTCATTTTTAATTAGAAGTTACGAGTTTATTTCTTGAATATGAATTTAGTCGCTTTTAATAGAGAGAGTTTTAGTACTCCTCAGAGTGTGACTTAGCTTTTCTATGTAAATTTAAATTAATCGAGTCCCAAAATGAATATCAAATACAGAATAAAAAGAAAATGAAAAAACGGAGTATTTGCATATTGCAACGTTGTGTTCTTACATATATGTTGCTACTTACTAGCTGTCATTTGTTTTATGCTAGTACCATTTGTTTTTAAGAAGAAAAAAAATCCAAATATGAGCAAACACAAAATTAAATGAAACTTTAATTTATATTCCCTTTTTATCTCAAATTATTTATCGTAATTTTCGAATACTATAATTATCTCAAATTATTTGTTAAGTATTTTTGAAGTTTATGAAAAAATTATTATTTTTTCCATTTTACTTTTAATATGTAGTTATTGTTCTTGAACACTACAAACATCTCAATTATGAAAAGTGTTAGGGTTTTGCTCTGATTTTCTTACCATAATATAAGATTTATTTTTCCTTAAAGAAAAAACAAAATATTACCATAAATGTTTTTACTTTTCTTGAAAGGAAAATATAATATTATTTTATATTTGGTTTATTCTCTCCTTTTAGGACTCCTTTCTAGTAGGAAAGGTTTTAGGACTCTATAAATATAGGTTTATTTCTTCTAACACAAAAAACAATAACTTCCACAATGTAGACATTTAAGAGTTTTGTTTATGGGGAGATTTATTCTCTCAACAATTATAATTATTTTTATTTTATATTAGTTTTCATATAATAATATTATGTTTTTAGTATAAGTTTTTTTCATCTGATTTACCGTCTCTTTGATTTGCAAATTGTAAGCTTCCGCATGACGCCCTAATTCACCCTTCATAACCCAACAAAAAGATGACATATAAATTATTGTTTTCTTAAAAGTGTGAGAAAGAAAAACACGACAAATAACTTGAGACAAGTAAAAGTGTGTGTGTGGGGGGGGGGGGGGGGGGGGGGGGAAAANNNNGGTGGGCGGGGGGGTGCGTGGGGGCTGGACACTTTCATTTTCCAATAACCACATGCACCATTATATGTATGTATTTTGTGCAAACTCTTCTCAAGTGGTGTGAAATTGTTTAATTTTCCTCAGTTTTAGCAAACTGTGGTCCATTATACATCAAAAATGTCAAATCCCCCTTATCTTGCGGGTCTTTTGTAACTTCATCTTCTACATCTCATCATTTAATTAATTTCCCCCGTGATCTGCCTTTGGTCTCATTGCATAATTAATTTACTTGTTATAACTCTGTGTGACTCCAGTTGCCACTTTCATTTCTTCAATTTATTATATAAGTTGCTCTTCTAGGGATTATGATGATTATTAATACAAATAAAATTAACATGACTTTCCAAGTACATGATATATGAATAAACATTGACCAGTAAGGAGAACAAAGAAAATACAAGGTTGCTGCTAATTAATATAATCCAACGACAAGCGATGTCTATTGACTCTTTTTGAAGTACAAAATCCACAAATTTGAATATAGAGTTGAACTGTTTTTGACTTTCATAAACCGAGTCAAAATTTGAAATTCAAGATTCAAAATAAGTTTCTGAATTTTTCTTAATGACAAATAAGAAATTTTAATGAAAGTTACAGAATTTCGTGAAATAATTTAAATTTTAGTCTAGCTCCACTCCTTGGTGATTAAAAAAAAATGTTTATGGAAAGCACATGATTTGACCGGAAAATACGAGAGGGATGATGGGGTGCGAGGTTAGCGCTGACAGATAATTAGGGGCACTTGCACTTATGTTGGATCGGCCAAAAATAAGGACAAATCTACAACACTCTTTTTTTTTGTACTTCCCCTTATACTACTCACTAGCTTTGCAACTCTGCTATTCTTAACTTTTATTAATCTTTTGTGTCCCCACTCAATCCAAGTAAAGATGCTCTTTGTCTGCTCCCTATCTTCCTCTTTCCCTATGACACACAAAAGTTTCACCAACGTGAATTATGATGCTGTGGTAGAACTGTTTCATTCTTAATGAAAAGTATCAAGAGTTTAAGTGAAGAATATCTTATTGGGTGTATTGTTACTCCCAAATAAGGGGCTTCGGACATCAAATAGAATATCAAAAAATAAAATAAAAAGAGGATGACATTTCCTTCAACAACAAATGCTTCATGAATCACACACTCAACCCCACCACGTCCATGACTTCCATTTACTGTAAGTGATTAAATATTTATAGGTAAGAAAATGACACATATCATATATTTATTAGTTTGTCATAAACCATCATAGAACTTCTTCCTTTAGACTTTGCATATAAAAAATTTACAAAAATAAGGAAATATTAGAAATATTTCTTAATGAGGGCCAGTATTACCTAACTTTAGCTGAAGTTGATGGTGCCGGCTAGTGGCCACACAAGTATATAGACTGAGCCACAATGCAAATTGGGGGATCAACAGAATACATTAGCTTCGGTTCAAATTTATATTTATATTTAAAATGTATAAAAAAAATAAATTATTCATAGCTTGAGAAACTAACGATTGTGATTCATAATCATAAACTAAATTTTTTGGCTCCGCCTCTAATGTACGACACAAACCATTGAGAGAAGTCAAGGAGTTGCTCTTCTGTTGCACATGCAAATTTGAGGTAATCAAGATGAAAAATACATATAAAATTGTGTCAACGTTATCTATTGGTTCGATTAATAATGACCTGATTATATGCAAGCTGTTAACTTCTGTCTTAATTAATTGACCATGTTGTTTTCTTTAGACACTATTCCATGTGTCATCTGAGTACCTTATAATTAGATATATTAGTTTTATACTATATGCTACCATTACTATTTTTAACTTTATTTTTGTTAATTTTCGTCTTGGACTTTGAAAGTAGAGACGACCTTACTTGAACAGGATCTGTTCTACAGGCTCGTACCACTGTATCCTTGATTTCTCAGGAGACACGAAATCAAGTCTGGTGGATGACTCGTGGCCATTAGATCAGACAAAAAAAAGGACTTTAAAAGTAGAGGAGAGTTAAGATTTTGAGTTTATAAGTTTAAAAAGTCTAAAAAACCAGCTAATTGGATATTTACATGTTAGCTACGGAATTAATATGGAATTAATCGGTAATTCCTAGCTATTCATCGCTTAAACACTCTTAGCTAATTAATTTTTTTATAGTTCATCATTTGTTCGTAATTAAATGAGATTAGCATGAAATTTTTATCGTGCATGTGAAATTTTGTTCGTCGCTAATTCCTCATTTTCTAATCATAAAAAGTAAGCAAATTCCCCTGTGAACGGCACCTAATTAACTTTAATTAAATAAAAAGGCAACCTAATTAAATTTCTGCTTTAGTTTTCCACATGCTCTCTCTGTGTTTACTTATCTTGCAGGAAGGAAGACTAGTTAGTTATGGATATCTGAGCTTAAGATTAGTAATTAAGAATATAAATTTGATGTTAATTAAATTAAGTGTTGAAATCTAAGGAAGAGACAAAGATGAGGTATACATGTGAGTTGTTGTCATACGTTAGGAATCAATGCAATGATGAATCAACTTGTTTTGTTTAAGGGCTCACAAGTTCAACCTTATTTGCTGCTACTTGATTAATTATGTAACTTAACTGCTGTCAACTCTGTCCCTTTCAGACTCCAAGAAGATGCCACTTTCCTAGCCATTCATTAGCTTTCTCTATGTTACATTCGCGACAATATATATACATTAACAAAGAATGATAAAACTTTTACTAACATTAATTGATTGTCATTAGATTTAATATCGCTCTAGGCTTTAGGAATATTTATAAACAGTGTT